GTAACGGCCTGAAGTGAATGACCGAAAACAGCTGTTTGCGAACACGACTTTTGAATTCTTTCTGTTTCGGCTAAGCAGTCTGTCGTTATGTTCCAATTGATTATCTGTTCTTTCTTCGTGTACCAATCCATAGATCTGCGAAATCCAGGGTTCCGGCACATGATAAGACCAAAAGACGGACCAAAAACGCTGACATTTCCACCTCTAACAAGTCAACTATATATGTCACCGATTTGAAACCAAATGCCACGGAAAACGATCTCATAGACTACTTCTCCAAATATGGCACTGTCAAAGACGCCAGGGTTGTCATTGATAATAATACAGGCCAGTGCCTGGGATACGGACATGTTACCTTCGCCGACAGAGGGGCTATTGAAGATGGTGGAGTTCTGGAGATCAGCCACTTCCTCGATGGCTGTCGCATAAAGGTCCTGCCGGAAATGCCTTCTGCAGATGGGGACAAAGGGCAACCACAAGTCCAGTTAAGATGTGAAAAAAAATTATTTTTTCTGTTGTACCTGTGTTTACCCTTCTCACCCTAAAGTAGAATTAGCCTTCTAAAGAGATTCTTCTAAAATGTCTTCCAATTTCTGCTTCTTTGAGAACCTATTTGATGGTCGCTAAGGCACAATCAACTGTACTCTGTCAGTATTCTGATGAGGGGAGGGGGAGTTCAGTGAGTCAAACCCTAGCAACTGCGATCTTCACACCATGGCTCCTTAGTCGAGAAGAAGTCGGGGGAGGCCAACATAGTAGGAATAGTTTATTCTGTATACAGAGGGACGAAGAATAAGCAGGAAGAAGATTGACTACGAAGAGCACATCCTTCCGCTGGAGCGGCTAGCTTTGGGGCCCATATCCATTGTGCAATGATAACACTGTATTTTGTATCTGGGAAACCGTAGTGGCTACTCTTTAGTTAGGAAATTCTTCAAAAAGGCATTCATGCAAGTGGGCGCTACGATTTCCTGATGCTCATTCAACCCCTTTTTTACTCCACAGGTCTACTGGCCAGGACACCATCCCTGCCGACGTCCTCACTAGCAAGAAAACCATATTTGTCTGTCAGTTTAAACCCGGCACAACCGAAGAGGATCTCACAACTTATTTCTCCAAATTTGGCACAATCCAGCGGGCCAAGATAATAACCGATAAGGCGACCGGCAGATCTCGAGGCTTCGGGTTCGTAACCTTCACTGATGAATCGACTTTACAGGGTGGCGTTCTTGAGGCTTCTCATTTCCTTCGTGGCCGTCAGCTCGTAGTACAAGCAGGTCATCTCCCAACTTCCGTCCCGGCTCACAAACCGCAAGTCCAGTTCATTTATCGACCAGCGTTCTCTGACTTATTTTTATTTGTGCATAAATGGTCTTCTCACTGATTGTGGGTAGATTCTGTGTCTTCTGAACATTTTGGCTGTATGTTTTCATGCATGAAGTTGGCTGAAGCATCTGTTCAAGGTTTATCTTTGTCAGACCAGCGAAAATTTGCCGGTTTTTCTGCCATACTGATTGATTGCTCAGACCGAGTGGCAAGAACGACTAATTTATCCGCGTTCGGAGTAAAGAAACCTGTATCAGGTAATAGCTGAAGATCTACTATGCATTTAAGTCGTAAAAAAGTGTTTTTTCCATTCTCCCTGGATACTACTGTTACACGTACTATGCCTATGCCATGAGTGCTAGTTCTAGTAAGCAGATTTACCAAAACCTGTTGGTGGCAAACTACAGTGCATCTTGTACGTGCTTGTATTAAGTCGGAACCTAGTTCGCAGATGAAGCCTGTATCGGGTAGTAACTTAGATGAAGGATTAAAAAGCGTTAATTAATAATGTAGTTTACCCAATTAATAATGTCTCACGTTCTCACTCACTCTCTTTCCCCCTTTTCTGTCTCTTCACTAATTTACCTGAACCCCAAGCCTCTTTGTCTTGTCTAAAATTTGGAGAGTATCGTCACGTTCACGGCTGATTTTAACGGGATGTTGGTGGCAGTTAGAGAAAATGTACAGACAGTCACGGAAACCAGTCTTAGGTTGTCACAGATTAGCACATCAAACATTGACTGTGTCAGCTTCTAGTCAATTGTAGACTACAAGCGATAGGATACTACCGTTAGAAGTGTTGTGCCTATGCTAGAAGTGCTAGTTCTGGCAATCACATTTGCTAAAACCAGTAAGTGGCAAGCTACAGTGTGGCCTGTACGTGCATGTGGGATATGTTAACTTATTATGCAGTCGTAACCTATATAGGGTTAAGTAAACAGAAGGGCTAAAGAAACCTGTGTTTCATTCGTTTAAACTGAAACACGCGCATCGCAAGAAATTGAAATTGTGGAGTGCTTCGAGTTGCTTCTCCAAAAATGGCCGAGGATTCCTCGAAGCCATGCACTCCGACGATTCATGCATTAACCGGCACGTCGAGTTGAATGGTATTCATAAGCACGTCAAAAAACGATGGAAAATACAGGGCCACATGACAGAGACTTACTGAGACCAAACCTACCAATCACGTCTCACTTTGTATAGCTATTGATGGTTTCGGTAGTTTTGAAATTTTAGTTGTTCATTGTAATTTTCCTGTTAGTCCGAAGATGAGTTGGGGCATCAACCTCAAAAATTCACTCATTTAAGTTATTTTTATCTCAATGAATATCTTCTTCAAACCTATATTTGTTAATAGCTGAAGATCTACCATACATTCAGGTAGTAAACAGACACATTTGCCATTTTTGAGGCTACCTTTGACTTTTTACAGTACCTAGCTCTATCTCAGATTTTACACACCATCGCCTTTCTAAATAGGTGAGGTACAAGTACGGTACTAGAGGACAGCAGCATGACATTGCACTGCAGGGATAGCGCAATATTAGTGATGCTGGGGATACTAGTGATTTTAGTTCGCATAATCCATAGACAACTGTAACCGTATTTGATCTGACGAGCGTATAACTATACAGGTTGGACGTCGGCTCCAGATAGGGATGACAGTGGAGGCGGCCTGACTTATGCCTATCCGTATTCGGCGACACAACTTAGTGCCTAGAAATCCCGATAACCTGACATGGCATCTAGCGGTTTGTCTGCCCAGGCCATAGGAGAATCATCTCTTGTTGTATCGGGATGTAGCTTTCGGTAGACTACGCACATCTAGGACTAGTAGGGCTAGGATACTGCTGTTTGAAGAGGTATCCCAATACCAGGAGTGCTAAATCTAGTAATCCTATTGCTAAAACCAGTATTTGTCATACTGCAATGTGGCCTGCACGTGCATGTATAGAGTCGAAACCTTGTATGCAGACGCAACCTATATCAACACTTATTTAGCCATTTGCCATTATTAGGGTAACATTTGGTTTTTTGCAGAACCTAACTCTCTCTCTCTCTCTCTCTTGAGGTTTAGAAAACGTTTCCTGGCTAATAGGAGAGCAGTTCTGCCCATAGTCAAGTTTGCTATATTCTATAGCTCTGTCAGTGGCTCAGTAACAATGAAAAAGCACAGCAAATGGGAATATGAGTTTACAACTTTTTTGTCTTCATCGGGTGTTTGTGCGAAACACGAGGGGGTTGTCCTGCGGGAATGCCGTCTTTGTACGGAGTTGCAGATAAGCAGATATGAGCAGGCAGATTTCGCCTGACCGCCCGGTAGATTCGAGGTTATTATCCCACGATCTCAGAGAGAAGTAAGAATTTGAGTTCATGTTATTCCGAGGCAGTACATGTTTGATGCCTTGAGCCCATGAGAGCTTACCTTGGTTTCCGCCCTCTTACCTTTGTCCATTAAAAGCTAGGTCACGTTTTACTAAGTTTGGCCTTGGACGCTGCTACCAAAGATAATATGCAACTGCTAAGAGTGCTTATTCTGATAATCATGCTTACTAATGCCAGTAAACAGCATACAATAACACGGCTACTGTGTAATGTTTAAGAATTCGGAACCCAGTATGCATTTCCGATCTGTATGAGGTAAAGTGAGTAGCTTATTTGTTAACTAACCCCTTATCTACTCCACAGATCTGTTGGCAAGGAAATATTTGTCTGTCAGTTTAAACCCGACACAACCGAAGAAGATCTCAAGGCTTACTTCTCCCAATTTGGCACAGTCAAGAGGGCACGGATAATAACCGATAAGGCTACCGGCGAGTCGCGAGGCTTCGCCTTCGTCACCTTCACTAGTGAAAGGACTTTACAGGGTGGCGTTCTTGAGGCTTCCCATTTCCTTCATGGCCGGCAACTCGTCGTAAAACCAAGCATTACCCCTACTTGCGTTCCTAGGCTCAAACTACAAATCCAGTTGAGTTGTCTAGCAGCGTTTGCTGACTTATTCTATTTGTATGCACATAAATTGTCTTCTCCCTGATTCTGGGTAGATTCTTTTTCGTCTGAACGTTATAGCTTAACGTTTTTATGCATCAATTTGTCTACATCTTTGGCAGACAAGCGAAAAGTCACTGGGTTTACTGCCATTCGGATGTATTTATCAAACTACTTCACATGGAGTTAGAATGGTGACTTTTATAAAGATATTTGAACCACGTGCGCGTGTAGCGGGCCAAGGATGTCGAGGTTGGCACACACCTAAAGGATAAGAGACCTGAGGATGGTTCAGCAGCGGAGGCTCAGAATCGGATCAATAAGCATCACCCAAGCACACAAATGTGGAGATCGGAGTAAAAAGAAACGAGGATAAATGCGGTCGAATCTGCTTGTTATTAACGAATACGTACCGAATGAGAAAATAATATGGGATAGGGAAGGACGTTACATGGATACAAATCCCATCTGAAGTGGAGAGTGTTCTCTTATGTCTGATTAGTTACCGGTGGGAGATACAGTACTGTGGGCGACTGCAGGGGCGGGACTGGAGTGCCGACATCGAATACGGGACTGTGATACGAACAACGACGACGACGATGGCGGGAAGGGGGTCAGCGTCTGCGAGGGAAAGAGACACTGGTTTCTCCACTGGCACGCGATCACATCATCTCCATCCTGGGTCCGCGCCAAAAGTGACAACCTTGGTGTACTTAAAAAGTCCTTCAGTATTTTGGGTTGCTACACGCGCAAAAACTTTATCGCCAAAGAAACTGGAGACAAGGAGCACCATTTCTGGCTTTTTAGACGCAGCACCCGTATCTAACGCAGCCGTATCCAACCCCAGTTTTTGCTAAAATTGAGGCCCCACCTTAAAACTGCAGATAGAATTTAAATAGTCTAACCACTGATGTACGGTCTCTTTCGCCCGTGGATTGTGATTTGATAGAACAATAAATTGATGAAGGTGTGCTCACCGATTGCGGCTAAGGAAAAGCTCGTATAAGTTATGCTTTGGATTGCGGGTTTGACTCTCAGGAGGTGTGAAAACCCGGGTTTTGTTCGGTCCCTTGCATATTCCTTTGTTTTTGTCGGAATCCATATTTTGTCTTTACTTGACTAGACCTTAAGCTGCTGTTGAAATATCTGATCGCAATTGACTCAATAACAAACCAGTGCCTCAGTTGTTATCGCGCTCTTCTTTTGGCCGTGGGTTTAAGACGTGGGTAGTTTACAACCTAGGGTTTGGTATGAGTAGTTGTTTGCGGTTCACAAGTCAGTCATGGTTATTCAAGCATCCCATACCACTCATATTCTAGCATGTAAGCGGACGCGAATGGCCGAGCATGCAACGGCGGTGAGAAAGAAAGATGCCAACTAACAGGTTGCAGCTCACTCGGCAGGACCCGGACACATTTGCAAGTTTGACGAGGCCAAAATCCTCGCAAAAAGGTGATAACCGCTTGAGCCGCAAGCTGCTTGCGTCATGGTTATCAGGCCCCCAGTCCATCAACAAGCGCAACGGTTTGGCGTTTCAATATTGCCTACTGAGACATTGCCTGAGCAACGGAATCAGTCACGTGGAAACGGCCGGGCCCCGCAACAACTTGGACGACAACGAGCATAATTTTTGCAAGATTACCAAGTACACATCCAACACGGACAAGGAAATCACGCCACATGGTGTGTCGAACGCGATCTGTCAAGCCAGTAGTGCACCATTTAAGATCCAAGCGGTGGCTACAGAAGTGAATAATTATAGTACGCCTGTAGATGACCACTATGAACTGTAAGTAGTGTGCAACCTGCGCATATTTCAACCCTATCTAGGCGTGACTACGACTGTGATACCATTACCTATGATTAAGGATTCCCGACGGAATACGAAACGTCAGGACAATGAAGCGCTTGTTCCAGTGGTCGCATCTCCTTCTTCCGGATGGCTTCCTAGAATTCACATATTCACCTCCATTATTAAGGGACTACTGATGGGACTCGAGAAAGAGATCAAAGACGCAAGGGGACGAGCATTTTCTGTCAATACTATAACATTTCTCATCATAAAAAGTGAAGCAACGAGCCCGCTGCGCGGCTAATGCAGCCTCGGATTTCTAACCAACAGCTCACAGGTTCTAGTAACACGCCTATCGTAACACTTAGGTTTACGTATGGCACAGTTGGAACTATAATGCTTAAGTGTACAGGGGATTGACTTGCACGTTTGGTAGGGGACAGTGATAATTATTCTCTTTCCTTTATTTTTGGTTGGGTTAAATTACAGGGGAGTTTTGTTACGAGTTAGAGTGAACGTTGCGCTTTTTACATTTGGTTAACCCGATTGTGAAAAAACTCGCGACGTCAACAGGAGTCAAACCTGTATAGCAAGATTACCTTTACGCAGCCACTGGTCTATCACTTGAGTGACAACTCCATTCCTTGTGCCCTAAATGTCATATTTAGGTCAACTAAATTAAGAAAATCTGCCACCCCCCCAAAAAAATAATTAAGTCAGCCATATAGTAATTCTGGTAAATTCTGGATGATTTCTAAATAAATCCTGCTTGAGCAGTCAGCTTGCAATTACGCATTGGTTTATTCCATACAAGCAGTTAAGTTGGAGGGGTAAAATCGATCCAAATGTGATTAAAATCAGGCGCACGGCATGACGTTGTGGCTAACTAACTAACTTAAGCAAATCTCCCAAAATCTCATTAAAAATGGGAACTTTTGTTTGTACTTCTCGATCAGGCAACAGTAATGCTGATTTATAATACCAACTTGTATCAGACTCTTGTAAGCATAGAATAGGATTACGTACAAACTTGAAGTTTATAATTTTTTTGCCTAGACCTGAGAAGAAAGTGAAGCAGACCGTGACTCCCACCAAACTCTGCATTCGATCCGTGCCCCCAGATATAACTGAAGACAGTCTACATAAGTACTTCTCTAGTTTCGGCATTGTCAAGGACGTTCACCTGCTGACGCAAGTTATTAGTCTTGGTCGCGGTTTCGTGGTCTTCCATGACTCGGTCGCCGTAAGCAAGGTGATGGAGTCCCAGCCGCACACATTAAAAGGGAAACAGATTACCGTGTCTTGCACCGAGGAAATAGAACCTACAGACACAGGGTAAGCATTGGACGTACAGAAAAATAATTTTTGTAGTTATGACAAACTAATGGTTCTTTTTTTCACGGGGAGCAGAAGATTAACTTTTGACATCGTTTTAGAAACATTTTAACCCACGCGTATATGTTGTAGCAATGCTTCAAGAAATCGTCATATCAAAACTTCAGTAACATTATCATATGCCGAGGTACCTAGACTTCGCTAGCCCCATTACAGTGTTTTACAGTAGCAGTATTAACAAGCGTTTCGCGGTTTTGTCAGATCACAGGAAAAAATAAAAAAACAATTGGCTTATAAAACAGAAAATAATTTAAAATATTTATCTTATTACCCAAACGTTCTTAGGGTACAAAAATACATTTTTAGCACATTTTTGCACTAACGTGGATAGGTGCCATGGATCTCTTCACATAATATGTTCGATTGGGCAGTGGACCATCATCCCGCATCCTTTACTCTTCATCCTCTATGTTAATTACAGTTCATTAAGCGCTCAAACGACCAAGGAGCTCTGCAAAAGGAGGTTAGAAATCCTATCGGCTTAGAATGAAAAACGACTTTTAATGTTAAGCAGCCAGAACTTCCATTTTTTCGTTTAAATTCTACCAGTAGGTCGAATTTCCCTAAAGTGACTTCCGTATCCGGCGAAAAAGGGGGCTCCTGATGATGGAATCGTTTTCTATTTTAGCATGTTAAAACAAACATAACCTTATGACTTCCACCGCAGCTAAATACTCATTTACACTAACTTGCCAAGGATGAAATGTTTGACCACAAAATACGTTAAGCGGTTGGGCGGGGGATATATATTTTGCGGGCCCTATAGGTCAGTTTTGCCATAATAATTGCAAACTGCAGATGTGGTCCGAGAGGCAGCTCCTAGACTTGAAGGTACAACAGTGTGCCGTCCTCCATCTGCGTCCATCGAATTACCTCATACTTCGCAGCATAAGGACATATTACCTGAAAAATAATAGCATTCCCGTAGAATTTCCACAGAAAGACTTCAACATTTGGATACAGAGCAATCTAAAGCCATCGTTACAATGTGTGAAGACTGCAAACAAAGCCACGGTAGTGCTGCATGCTATCAAAAGGGCGTTTCTAGCTTTCAACAAAGACCTCTTTGTCAAAGTGTACGATACATTCATACGATTAAATCTGCAATATGATATACAGGCGTGGCGGCCATGGCTTTCAAAAGACATAAAATGTCCCGAGAAAGTGCAGCATCGGGCAACAAAGATAGTAAGAGGTCTAAAGAACCGCACTTACATAGACAGACTGGCATGCCTAAATGTATTCCCTCTGCATCACAGGCGACAAATAGGGGATCTTATCTTAGTTTACAAGATAATAAACGGTCTGGAGAAAAGATTGCACTTTGAGAGCAAGTTTCAGTGGCACCTCCCGCCTCATTTTCGCTGGCACACAATGAGGATGCGCACGAAGATGTCCAAGCTAAACCTCCGCTTTGAATTCTTCACGCAACGGACCATAGAGCAGTGAAGTAAACTCCCACAGTCAGTCGTGAAGGCCACTTCCCTACAGTTGCCCAAAAAACGCTCGGATAATTATATACATCCCCTGCTGTCCCTTGAAGTCTGAACTCTAACTGTCAAACCTATTTGTAAAAGCAATGCTATTGAGAAGTAGAAAGTAGCATTACTATTCGCGTTACTCTAAATAGCTTAATGAACATCATTGCCACCTTACTATCGAGTTTACACTCTACTAGATCGGTCAAACACATGCATGCATCATATTCCCAATGTCAACCGACAAAGCAAGGAGCCCGTGGACTAGTGGTAGAGTATTGAGCTCAATGAACTAAGGTCCAGGGTTCAAATCTCTAGGATCGGGTATGACAGGCTGATGACGGCTAATAAGCCAGAAATGGCCATTCCGGTCTCCCTTTGCTCTGTGGGAGACACCTCATCAGTAATCACTAGGTTTTTGCTCCTCGGTCAGGCAAAGAGAATATTGAATTATAAAACCAGCCTATTTCAGACTTTAAAAGGCATAACAATTCTCTGGGATTATGTTCAACCTTGCATTTTATGATCTTCTTCTCTAGATCTGAAAAGCAAGTGAAGCAGAACGTGGCTCCTAACAGACTCTGCCTTCGATCCCTGCCCCCAGAGATAACTGAGGGCAGTCTGCATAAGTACTTCTCCAAATTTGGCGTTGTCAAAGACGTTGGAGTGCTGACGAAAGTGATTAGCCTTGGTCGCGGTTTCGTGGTCTTCCATGACTCAGATGCCGTAAGTAAGGTGATGGAGTCCCAGCCGCACAAATTGCAGGGAAAGAAGATCACCGTGTCTTGCACGGAGAAACCAGAACCTACAGACACAGGGTAAGCATTGGAGGTACCAAAATATTTTTTGTGTTGATGAAACACGAACGATTATTTTTTCGCGGCAGGATAAAATACTTTCAGTAATATTTTAAACCACGCGCATATGTCGTAGGAATGCTTCAGGAATTCCTCAGTTCAAAGCTTCGGTGACGTTATCATATGTTGAAGTACCTGAATTTCCCTAGACCCGTAATTGTGTCTTACGGTACAGGTGTTCACTTTGAAAGACCAATCATCTTTTCCGATAGCTAACAGCCTTGCATTTGTCGATATTTTAACCTAGATCGGACACGTCATCGGAGGAGAGCTCGAATTAAAACAAAATCTTTCTTGGATCACTGCCCTAAAAGTAACTGAGTGCATTTGGTATCAGTACTTCTACAAATTCGGAATTGACATGCACATTACTGTTTCAAAGGAAGGTTTGTCGACTTCCGTGATGTGAACTTAGTCATGCAGGTACATGAGACACAACTGCACACATTTAATGAAGCATAACTCAACGTACGTCTTGCTAATAAACAGCCATCTGCTATTTCTCGAAAAAAGTTGTGCCCATTAAATCACATTTGTTTAATGTTGTTATGAAGTTTTAGTTACTCTTGTGTTAATGCTTCTCTGGGCGCACCATGTTTAAATAAAATTAGATTGAGAACGCGCTTTTCCCTAAACGTTTGCCACAAATTCAGGTCAGTAGCCCAGCACATCCCACTGAACGCATACCCAGTAAATATAATGACCTATCATATTTACAATATTTTTTTTAATATTAAGAATAAAAAGTAAGTTCTCAAGAGAGTGTCTGCAAGTGGGCAGTAATTGCGTTAGTTCTTCTGATTTCCTCTAAGCCAAGTTATTTGCGTATATTTATCAATTAAGGAAAAGGGTAGAAAACATAGTTTACCTGTTGTTGGATAGATTTTTAAGTAAACGTGTCAGGGCTGGTGGGAGGTCAAACTGCTTTAGTCGAATTTAAGCCTTGTAAACTTCCGGAAAAAATAGTTTTTTTACATTTAGCATACCTTGATATTTACTCGAAGGTTCATTGTGATGTCCATAAGATAAACCATGACCATGTGGTTGGCGGATATGGACAGTCGGTGGGGGGATTGCAAGACATTAGAACTTTTAACCTGAAACTACACGAAAATGCGTGGTTTTCCAAATTCTGTCTCAGTGTTGTGATACCTGATACTGTAAATGCAAGCTGCAGCATAATATGTATAAAAGCCGAAAGTACGGATGAACAACGAACTTC